TTTTTTTTTAAAAAAAAAGTGTCATTGTCAATTTTAATTGGGTTTGGGATATTCTATTTAATGTTTTTTAACTTTTGTATTATGTGTTTCTTTTAATGATGTATGTCGCCCTGAGTCCTTGGGAGAAGGGCGGCATATAAATCTAATAAACTTAAACCTAAACCTCTTGAGAAACCTATATGAGGGTCAAGAAACAACAGTGAGAACTGGACACGGAATCACTACCATATTTTTCGGAGTATAAGACACACCTTTTCCTCCCTAAAAGAGGGTGAAAACTTGGGTGCATCTTATACACTGAATGTAGCCAACCCACCAGCCCCAACCCTTTGGCCTCTGCCTCCCAGCAATTTACCTCCTTGCAGAAAACAGAGGCTTGCAGAGGTTGCAATAGGCTGTAGCAGCGATGGCGAACCTTTTTTGGCTCACATGCCATGGGGGGAGCGGAAGGGGGTCGTGTGCAGGCGTATTGCACCCATAATGCAACGTGCGACCCACCCCAGTGCACATGTGCACATAATAGGAGCTTCCCCCCATCTTTCCATGCTTTTTTCACCCTCCCCAGGCTCCAGAGGCTTTATAGGAGCCTGGTGAGGGCGAAAACAGCCTCCCCCCCCCGGAGGATTCAGGGACCTTCAGGAGGCCTTCCTGAAGCCTCCGAAGGGCAAAAAACAACCCTCCGAGCAAACCAGAAGTCACTTCCAGTTTGCTCAGAGGCTTCCCTGAAGCCTCCAGAGGACTAAAAAGGACCCTACAAGCAATCTGGAAGTCCTGTTTGCTCAGAGTGTCCTTTTTAGTCCTCTGGAGGCTTCAGGGCATCCTCCTGAAGGTCCCTGAAGCCTCTGGAGGGCTTAAACCGACCCTCCGAGCACACTGGAAGTCTGTTCCCAAACGTCCTGTTTGCCCATAGGGCCGGGTTTTTTGCGCTCCGGAAGCTTCAGGGAAGCTCCTGAAGTCTCTGAAGGGCCTCTGGGGGGGGGGGAGCTCTTTTCGCCCTACCCAGGCTCTTATAAAGCCTCTGGAGCCTGAGGAGGGTGAAAAATGACTTTAAAAAAGGCTGAATTTAGCTCGCCAGCGCACACATGTACACTGACCAGCTGACAGGATAATGCTTTCCGTGCCCTGACAAATGGCTCCGGGTGACACCTGTGGCATGTGTGCCATATATTCCCCATCCCGGGGCTATAGCAATCCCTGCAGCCTGAAACAGCTGATGATCAGGATAAACTGAAAGTAAAATTTGTTGTTTGCTCCATGAGGCAAATTGCTGGGAGGCAGAGGCAGATTTTTTTTCCTTGTGCTAATCAGGCTGTTTGCTGCTCAGTAACTATAAATGCCTGTAGAATGTTCAAATTATTAGACTTATTTTTTAAAGACTGCTTTATTATTGTTCTAGACAACTTAACAAAATGAAGAAGCTTTTTAAAATAAATGCTTGATCTGAAGAGGCTCAGTGCTATTGTATCTTCTTTTAAATAGCAGAGAATAACTATACTTCCAGAAAGCACATCAATTTTAACAGCATCTGTATAAGTATAGTCTGAAATGTAACACTACAAACAGTCTATATTGTCTGTGCTGTTTGTTGCAAGGAGGCAAATTGCTAGGAAGAAGATATTTTTCCCTTGTTTTCCTCCCCAAAGCTAGATACATCTTATACTTCGGAGCATCTTATACTCCGAAAAATGTGGTAGTTGGTTCACAATTGGGAAAGGAGTTCAGCAAGGCTGTATATTGTCACCCTGCCTATTTAACATATGATAAGCATATCATGAGAAAGGCGGGGCTAGAAGAATCACAAGTTGGAATGAAGATTGCCAGGGGCAATATCAACAACCTCAGATATCCAGATGATACCACACTAATGGCAGAAAGTGAAGAGGAACTAAAGAGCCTCTTGATCGGGTGAAGGAGAGTACAAAAGTTGGCTTGAAACTCCACATTAAGAAAACTAATGACATCCAGCCTTCTCAATTCCTGGAAAATAGATAGGGAAGAAATGGAGGTAGTGACAGACTTCATTTTCCTGGCCTCCAAGATCATAACAGGTGGGGATTAAAACCAAGAAATTAAAAGATGCTTACTCCTGAGGCAGAAAGTTATGGCAAATCTAGATAGCATATTAAAAAGCAGAGACAGCACTCTGCCAACAAAAGTATGTATAGTCAAGGCTATGGTTTTCCCAGTTACAACGTATGGCTGTGAAAGTTGGACCATAAGGAAGGCTGAGCGCCAAAGAATTGAGGCCTTTGAACTATGATGTTGGAGAAGACTCCTGCAAGTCCCTTGAACTGCAAGGCGATCAAACCGGTCAGTCCTAAAGGAGATCAACCCTGACTGCTCTTTAGAAGGCCAGATCCTGAAGATGAAACTCAAATATTTTGGCCACCTAATGAGAAGGAAGGAATCACTGGAGAAAAGCCTAATGCTGGGAATGATTGAGGGCAAAAGAAGAAGTGGACGGCAGAGAATGAGGTGGCTGGATGGAATCACTGAAGCAATCAGTGTGAGTCTAAATTTACTCCACGGGATGGTAGAGGATATGAAGGCCTGGAGGAACATTGTCCATGAGGTTGCGATGGGTCAGACACGACTTCGTCACTAACAACAACAACAATCCCTTGCACCAGGTTGGAATGAAGCAGGCCCATTTTATCAAATGAGAACACTATGAAAATAACCACAATGGGATGCAAGCAGGTAAGATCTATGATATATTCCTTTAGTTCATTCTAAGCATCGTTAGTTTGGCATAGCAAGCTTAGCAATTTATCACAATCTACTTTCATATTCAGGTTCATAGCTGAGGCAAGCTGGCAGAATAGAGCAATAGCACAGGTTGTTCAAAAATACCACGAGAAGCTTTTTTTGAAATTTAGTATAGCCCAACAAAAAAATAACAAGCTCTATGGTGTCAAAACCCCCAATTTAATAATAGGTTCAGGAAGGAATATGCAGTTAATCTTCAATGAGCCTACCCTCCAAGTTGAAATCTGCCTCCATCCTCCTATTCTTCTGTAAGAGTCTGAAGACTTGTCGACCTGGGGACCCAATGGAGGAGTACCACAATGGGAGTGCCTATTATACTGATTAAAAAACCCCACTCCTCCCTGTGCTACCTGCTTCCCTACCCATCCATCTTTATTCTCATATAGTTGTATTCTCATTGTTTTCTTTTTCATTGTTTATTCCAATCTTTCCATGACTTTGCTACTGTTGTATTTATTTTCATTTTTCTATTTTTATAGTTGTAAGCCAACTAGAGTAGCCCTAACAAGATAGGTGGCAAATAAACTTAACAATTTAATAAATAGATAAACAAACAAACAAACAAACAAACCACATTTTCTGCATTTTTGATGCAATTTTCTAAACAAAAATATGTGCATTATTATTTTTATAAGTGGAAGATCTGCACAAAACAATATTCAATAGAAACTATTTAAAAGGATGTCTATTAGGTCAGCAGCCCCCAACCTTTGGGGTATCATGGACTAGTTCAGTGGAGACAGGTTTTTCTGTGGACCAGAAGGGGCATGGTTTCACATGGTGCCTGCATCCCGCAGATGAAGCTTTGCAGGTTTGTACGGCCTGGTTGCTGGCATGCCACAGTTGTTGGCATGCCACAGTTGCTGACATGCTCTGTGGCATGCCAACAACCGGGCCGCTGAAACCTGCAAAGTTCCATCTGTGGGTTAGGTTAGGGACCCCTACTTTAGGTAAGCCTGCACACAAATACTTGCATTCTAGAAGAATTACATATAACAGTGCACATATATTTTATTCAATTACCAAAAAAAAAAAATGCAACTAAACCTTCGTGCCACATATAATGGCAGATTACAACATACTTAAATTACTATAAAAGCAAAAAAGAATAATAAAAGCTTAAAACACAATACTTAATAATAACATAATTACAGTAAAATATATTTTTTTCCATTCAATTATGTCCAATTCTCAAAGATCGCATGGACAAGTCCCTGTAGTTTTCTTGACAAGATTTCAGAAGTGCCTTCTTCCTAGTACTCAATGAATGTGATTAGCTCAAGGTCAACAACTGACTTCATACCAGGGTGGATTTGATTTAAATCAACTTGATTTAAATCACTATTTAAATCACTAAAGTAAAAAGGCTCGATTTAAATCAACTTGATTTAAATCATAATTTTTAAAGAACAACTGTCATCCCTGTCCCGCAGCAGCTCCTCTTCTGACCCACTGTTGACTCACCGAGTCCCATTCACTTTAATGGGACGGCTGGTGATGCAGCAGTGACACAACAAGGTGAGGAACCTGGCAGGCAGCAGGTGAGTGGATGCCCGCTAACAGGTGCTGCCATGATGGATCTGAAATGACAGGTGCTCTTTAATATTTTATTTATTAGCTGCTTAGAATATTTCACTTTCATTTTTACCACTTGCCCTTCCTCCTCATGATTAGAACCTGGTGGTACGGATGTATTTCTCTTCAAACAGTTTGTAGTGTACATAGATTAGCAAAACAATGGGAATATTCTTGAACTTTGTTTTATGATTTATCTCATGGTTACTGTGAAATTGTATGAATGCATCAATGCAGTGCATGTTATTTCAACTTGCAGAACTTGGATTCATTGAATGAGTTTACCAAAATATAAATATTGCATAATATACAGCCGCATGTTACATAACTAAGCTCCATTTCATGCTGAATAAACTAAATTATTACTCTATCTTAAATAGAAACCTATCTTTAGCTATCTTTTTTACTCCAAAAGAATTTTATTAAAATAAATTTGATAAAAAAAATTAAAAATCCAATTTTAATTTAAAAAATCATCATTTCTTTATCCACCCTGCTTCATACCCAAGGCGGGACTAGAAACTCACAATCTTCCAGCTTCTAGCCTGATGCCTTAACCACTACACCAAACTGGCTCTCAGATACACAGAGAAAGGGGAAGGGAAAATGTCACGGCAAGACCAATCCATGCATTGGCTGTTGATCCTACTAGTGGCTGGAAAGGGCTGAACTAAAAGACTGCACTGAGCAGCACAAGAACAAGCATTAAGCACCAACTCTATAGAAGCAGGGGTCTAGGTGCCACATTAGATATAACCCAAGGTTTCAGCATTCCAAGTAATACACTCATAGCAAACAAAACTCCGAGGCAGGTAGACCAGCTTCAGCGTTGACACAAGATACCAAGGGGCCTCAGAGACAGTCCGATACACAGTGGCAGGATTTAAAGTGCAAGCAGGAATACCATACATGTGTATTTATTAATGCATTTATCTTATTAATCAAATTTATATATTGCCCATCTCTCTATCAAAGTAACTGGGTGCTGTACAAGAAAAACTGAATAAAAAAATAAAATAAATAAAGTTAAAAAGATGGAGAGAGCATCCTCAAGCCACCAGCCACCCTAGGGTTGCATCACACTCTTGGGTTCCCATGCTAGTTGAAAGAACCAAGCCTCAACACTCTTCTGGAACACCAGCAGAGTAGGAGCCAACCTCACTGCAAGATGTTCCCTAGGGCAGGGGCAGCAGCTATATAATAATAAATCCAAGTAGCATGAATCACAATCATTCCTCAAGGCTACTCCTGAAAACGTTCTGAAAGGCCATCAGCCAGGGTAATTTTTAATCTATTCCATAATGAGGATGCCATGATGGAAAAGCAAAACCTTGTTTTACCTCACCTCATGTAAGTGAAATGACAAGAAACTTCTTTTGGGTATATTAAGTTGATTCCAAATGGAATAAACAGTTCTGTAAGAACTTACATGTCAAGCCATACAGAACTTTCAATTCAAAACTACCAGTTTGACTTACAGCTGGAAACATTAGCAATCAATGCAGATCCTAGCAGTGGGACATAATATAGATATAATGCTCATAGTGTTGATGCCAATTAACAAGTGAGTTATTGTACTTTTGACTCCAATACAATTTTCTATTGTCTTTAAATGCAGTCCCCAACACTATGGAGCATTGTTAATGAATCATTGTAGTCGGATCCTCCCATTTCAGGATGGGAGAATGGACGTGGGAAAAGACCATCTTCCACCTCCTTATCTAGCAAACCCCTAAAATTCGAATCTTTTCCTTCAAGAGCAATATATCCTCTCCAGGTATCTGCAGCTACCAGAGAGTTGCAAGGAACAAACTGTAATACATTCTGCTTGTGTTCACATTTAGCCTATTTTCTCCCATCCAGACTTCTAAGAGTCTCCAGTACCTGTACAGGATCTCTAGCTATGCCGAGACATTTTAAATTTTTTTAAAGATTAAAAATACAAACTAAGAAGGAAAAGAAAAAAAATCAATGCAAAGTATTTGCTCTATGGACTATGGAGTAAAGAATGGTAGATGCCATTTACTTATGTCAGTTTCAACTTATTTCATTACAAGCAGATATTCTTTGGGAAAAGGTGGAAGGGTTCCCTTACACTTTTTAGCCACAACTGTAAGCAGAGCATAGCTGCCCCCATACCTAAAAATGATAGCATGAAGTTGCTGCACCCTAAAATTAATATCTTTTAAACTCTTCAGTTAGCTCTAAGACCATTGTTAACTATTCCAAATATAGAAAAAAACATCAACATTAAACTATCCATAGCTTCTTTTATTCAAAAAAAGGATCTATATCAGGAAAAAATATTACAGAATATGGGCATAGCTCTAAATGCATAATTGCAGGAGTATTTAATAATGAATTCAGCTTTGTTCTCATGTTTGTATATAGACAATAGAATTCCAGAGTACTTATGTTCTGAGGAAGATTTAAAAAGCTTACCTGAGAGACTCTGCCATTCGTCTTAAATCTTCATTTTGCTGTTTCAATCGTTCAAGTTTTGCTAGTATTTTTGACAGTTCACGGCTAGAGTGATCCGGATGCTCACTGTCTCTTACTAAGTGTCCACCTATGTAAAAGAGCAATGTTCCCCAAGCAAAAAGGATGAGCATAATCCATCGCCAGGAGCCAGTCCATGGCCGCATTTTCAAATGTTTTGTCCACTACAAAATAGTTTTTGTTCACAAACTAAACATTGTAATTCTTCAGTCAATACAAAGATTCCAAGGCTTCAGTGCTATTCATCATCATCTTGTGCTTCTCAAGGCATTTATCCTATAGCAGAATTTCAGAGTAATTATCCAGGATGATGAATATTCCAAGTACTAAGGTCACAAACGTTTTGGCTATGCCTGCAAAAAAGAAACAAAATGTTAATGTTATATTTTAATGACATTTATATTTTTAGAGATCAAATTATTAGATATGGAATTGCAAATCAGTTACTGACATTTATACCACTTCAGCATGTCAACATATTATAACATACTGTAATAATAACACAAACTAAAAAAGAGCGTTCATTCTTCACTAAGGAATATGCTTTATTCCTTAGTCAAATGTAAATAAGAAGAAACCTTCTTATTCTCTAAAGGAAAATATTTGTACCCAGGATTGAAATGAGGGGTCCTTGGTGTTCTCTGAGCTTGGTTGTAGTTGTGATTGTGGTTGTTTTGGAGGATTTTTTGGTTGCAAGAAAACAACCAAGCTCAGAGAGCCCACGAAACCTAATTCAGTAGATTAGAGTAATTCAGTAGAGAAATTCAATTTATATGTCAATAATCATAACTATTAGTTTTTATAGAACTAGATATAAACAAACTCTCTTGAACAAAGACAAACAGTTCTTACGAGCCATGATAGAAAAATACTAGACAAAAATGTCATCAAATCCAAATATATTACCCTACCACTAAAAACAGACGGATATTCAAAAAGACTCCCTGGCCTATCACTATGCTACAATATATGATCAAAGAGATCTTACACTTCATTATAAATATGGAACTCTGTTGAAAGTCTCAATAAATACTTGCAACATGTCCTTAATACAGCAATTATCTTCATGGCAAAGTCTGGAAGAATAGAAAACATTAATTTTGAGCAACAATATTTCACTGAATGCAAAAACGTGTTAAGTTATTAAAACTGTGCTTATCAAACCATTATAAATAAGAAATAGTTACAGAATATAATAAGAATTATATTGATTTAACCCATCTAAAATACTGCTGAAAGCATGTTAGGTTACATCTGGAAACTTATATTGACAACAATGTCATGAACCTATTGAGGATAATCTCAGTGTAGACTGATTAAGGAAACAGTTTGATACTTGGGAGGTTCAGCCTCAAGTCCCTATTTGACCCTACAAGACTTGTACAGGGACTTCAGGCCAGCCTTCATTTCCCCAGTCCAGCTTTCTCACAAAGTTATTGGCAGAAACAAAATGAACACTGTTCAATGAACCAGAGAGGTCATAAAGGAAGGGCGGGAAAACTATATAACCATTATTGCAGTAATATTACACAATATAGATTAAGACAATGTTGGTGTACATATTTTCCTGATGATTTAAGCTATTACATCATGTATGTCTTGGGCAATTTCATTTTCCTACTAACAGAGCATATAGATTTGTGTCAGGGACCTGAGCTTGGTTAATATTTCACTTGAGATCTTAAAGATAGCATTAAGCTAGATAGATGGTACACCTGATTCAATAAAAGAGCCTCAAATATTAAATTGTGCCATCAAATCTAGCAGAAAACTGCTGAAACAGGTGTCATCCCCTATGGAAACATAGCATGAATCTATAATCTTCTCCCATTCACTTGTATCTTATTACGTTACCTACTATAACACTTTTCCATTACCTCAAAATAATATTCTGCAGACCAAACCCAAGAAAGATTGACCACATCTTTTTAGAATTTTCTTAAAATATGATAACCAAAACTGAACATAGTATTGAAAGCTGGGTTTGACCAATGTAGAATCAAGTTGAATTATTACTTTGGAAATACTTCTATTGAATCAGCGTAAACCTGTATGTGCATTTTGGCAACCACATCACAATGCTACTGGTATTCAATTTGCAATAAACTATTATTCCAAGACCTTTTGCCAAGTCATGTATCCTCCCTATCCAGAACTCTGAATGTGTCTGTTTCATTGCATAAGGTACTGTTATATTCAGACCTTTTTGCTAACTCATCTGGATCATTTTGCCTTTTATTCTATCTTCTCAGATATTAGCTATTCCAACCTGTTTTGTATCATTTCCAAATATGATAAACATTGCCTCTACCTGTTCATCCTACTTACTAATAAAATGTTTTAGTACAACATCCAGAACAGCACCTTGTGGTACTCTATTTGGTATATTGCCACAGATTAATAAAGAATCAATGAAGAGTACTCTTTACAATTTTTCAAGCCACTGTATATCCACTTGTCATGCCATTCAGGTGACATGTGGTCTCTTCCAGCCATTGAGCAGTTTGCCAATTCTCTAAGAGCTCTCAAAAAATAATATAAAATGACTCAGCCAAGCTATCATGAAGTTCTTCATGTACCCTCAATACGGTGCATATAGTCCTGAAGATGTAAACTTGTTTAAAGTAAATAGCATTTTCCTCAACATGCTTTTATCAATCTGAAGCTTCAATCCTGACTGTGCTATTCTTCAGAATGCCACATAATCTCTTGTTGGTGAAAACAGACAAAATAGGATTCAGTAACATCACTTTTTCTTTGTTATCCATTATCTTTTTGCCAACATTATTGAGGCCAGTACACTGTTTCACTTCCTTTCTTTTGTATATTCCTGAAGCTCTTTCTGTTGCCATCAATGAATTAAATTTCCATATAGATGCTTCATTTTTAACATAAGTGATGTTTTAAAATGGTAAGTAGAATTAAAATATGTTAAAATATTTTGCTCGGTCTATCTTATTGAGAAACAACAACACTGAAACTCAGTGTATATTGTCTTACATCTTTTCTTTCATAAGAATATCTTAAATAAATATTTTAAGGAACACAGGAGCTAATCTAACACACAAATTTCATTTTTTTAAAAGGCAACCAGCAATCCAAACAGTAATTCACTGTTGATTTCCAAATTATTTTACATAAAACAGCTGCTCTTCAATGAAATAACTTTCTGAAGTAAAATTTTAAGACTATTGAATAGAGCAATTTCCATCATTGGTTTTAACAACAGTTGGACATTATATTCAACACTTGTGCTAACTGCTAATATATCAAGATCTTTCTTTACTCCAATAGCATCTTTATTCTGTTCCCTATTTTGTGAAAGGATGTATCATGAACAGAGTAGAGGGGTCTGTCTGTGTTGCTGCTGCCAATTTTAACTAGTTTTACAGTGTTTTTTCCAGCCTAATAGTCAGTTCATCTGAGTCTTTTCTTTCATCTATACAAAACATTCCTGAACCTAGATAATTCTTAGTCTGATGATAAAAATTCATATTTTGATAGCTGTAGCCAGGGAAAAGTTACTATCTCATTCCCCCCCCCCTTTTTTTGCCACCATGGACTAACATGGCTCTTCTCTTACTGTGGTAAAAGACATAGACGGTTTATCTTCGTTATATCTTTAGCAATTACTATACAGAAAAACTGGAAGATTATTTTGTACAGTTACACAATGGTCTCCAACCTTTCTGGCAACAGAGATAGGTTTTGGAAGAAAAACTGTCATCAAAAGACCAGGGAGGGATTGTTTCACGTGCAACCTAGACCCTGCATGTACCCATATGAAGCTTCCCTCATTTGCATATACCAATACAATACAATACAATACAATACAATACAATACAATACAATACAATAGCAGAGTTGGAAGGAACCATGGAGGTCTTCTAGTCCAACCCCCTGCCTAGGCAGGAAACCCTATACCGTTTCAGACAAACGGCTACCCAA